TTTTAAATCTACTTCACAGTTATTTTGTTTACATTGTAGACGAAAAATGGAAAGTGATCTCGATAAGGCGCAATGTTCATTTGAACGCCCGGATAACGATAAAATGGAGTCAAAAACATTAAAAGTACAATTCACAGTGGAGAATAATAAACAAACGTATGATTTATTAATTTCATACAATTTCCAAAAAAAGCTTACACTTTTAAAATATAAATATTGATTAAAATTTGAATTTAAATATCTTAAAATGATGAAAAATATGAAATGTAATTATGTGATGAATAATGTAAATTTAAAAGTGATAGTTAATTTAATAATTACCAATGCATGTAATCATCAATATTAATAGTATTATGAGTAGTTTTCGTCACATTGTCACACTGTCATATTTTTATATTTCATAGCAGTGAAAAATCAAACTTTTTCCAAGAAAATAAGTAAACAAAAATATACTGAATTTCTATTAATTCATTTTCAAGCAACAGAAAGGCGAAGAAATGAAAAAAAGAAATAATTCAAAATAAAATTAATTTTTATTGTCGCAAAAGATTTTGTCGCCAAAAAAAAAGTTAAAATAAATTAACAAATGAATTAAAAATGAGCATTTTAATAATTCTGACCAAGGATATTGTTGACATTTACTTTCTGTTCAAAAATGAAAATAATTCAGATTGGTATAAAGTTGAGTTAATTTTCTTTTTTTTTTTTAATTTCAGTTCGATGTGACAAATATTAGAAATTATTTGCTATTGGATAAAGTATTAGATAAATGAACGTTCCACTGATTGGTGATAATAGTATGAATTTGATTCGGCTGTAAAAATTTAGCAATGGAATTTTGTGATTAAAATTTGCTAAATTTTTCTTTACAAATTATCATTTATAATTTATACTGAAAGATTCTGTCACATTAACATATACATTTTTCTGTTAGACACAAATGAAAAATTTAACTTCTTCAAAAAAAATTTTTCTAAGGTATATGTTAAACGGCAGGGATGAAAGTTAGTGTTTTTCTTTGTGTAAATTTTGAAATGAAAACAACAAAATTTTATTTTCAGGGATGATACTGAAATGACTGATGTGAACGGGTTGATATCATCAAAAAAAAACTACAAAAATTTATGGCATCAAGCTTATGAAGGTACATGTCGAATGCTAGGAATTAAGGTTACAATTTGGTTTATTTTAATGGTCGTCATTTTTTTTTAAGTCCGAAACATCTCGAGAATTTTTTTTTATTGAAAATAATCAATATGCTGGGAACAATTGAATACAAGTGAGAGAAAGAATGAGAACAAGAATAACGAGTTAAATTACTTCATTAAGACAAAGGTAAATTTAGCATACAAAATATGCGCACATTGATAAAAGAGATTACAAATTATCTTATCACTAAAGGAGCGATACTTTGGTTCAAATTTTAAATGAGAATGAAGTTCTTAAAAGAAAAAAAAAGAAAGGAAAGAAAGATGTAAATTTTGCAAAATTTAAAGAACTTTATATCTACTGATAAACTGGAAGACATTTATATTACCAAAAAATTTTTAAGCTTTTACAACAATAAAATGTAAAGTAAGATATCCCGAGAATTATCTTTCTGATGATTACAATTTTTTTTTCTTTTTTGCATGTTTAGAAGAAGACAGCTTATCTTGTTATCTTTTCTATTAAAGTATTTTCTAATTCATATATTTTAGCTTAATTTAATCGGTCACAATTTAATTTTAAAACATTTTAGGTATGATTTGCATGCTTATATTTTCAAATTTAATTCATTATTAGTACTTAAATAAAAATATCCGCTTGTAAATGAGTTTAATTATTTATACTAAGTATAATGTTATTCATATATGTTTATTATTGGATAATGTAAACATTTTCAGTTTTACTGTATCAATAAATGAATATTAGGAATGGAGATAGTGTTATGCGTGATAACTGGACGTATTCCTATCCCATCCTCCTATTACCAAAAATTTTATCATCTTGTCACATTTAATCCGGGAATGTAACATGAAAATGAATGAGTTGAGATCATTAGTTGACAAAAAATAAAAAAGCAGAAAAAAGTTTTCGGGGTATCATAAGCAACTTTTATAATACTTCAAGATTTGAATAATTATCTGTGATACACGTCAAATTTTTCTATTCAGTAGCAAAAAAATAGTCAAATTAGGCTAAAGTAAATTAGCTGACTTTTTAAGTTTTTTGAAAATTTCAAAACCAACCATTTTAAAGCTTCAGAAATTTTAATTAAATGCCAGAAATGAAGTGCCAAATAAAAGTGAAAATATTATTATTATTGGTTATTATTGTTTCATTATTATTAATTGCTATTATTATCAACTATTATTAATGTTGCTATTACTATTATTATTAATTATTATTATTACTAATTATTATCAGTTACTACTATTATTATTATTGCTATCATTATTGTAATCATTGGTTTTATCTTTCACTTTTTTTTGACACAATTATGATATCTAATTCATTACAATTTTTATTTTCAATTAGAGAAAAAAAACCGTTTTAAATTCTAAAAGTATTTTATATAGACGTGTGTTTTGTGTGGAAAAGCGGGAAGTGCTTTCCTTTTCTTACTAATCCATTTATGACTTTAATTTCAGTTCGTAAAACTGATATTGTTTTTGAATTCATTAAAGATGAACTACCTGAATGTTCACAAGCATCATACTTCATTTTCAGTCCTACCTTTTTTTCAATTTGAAACCTATTTTAAGAGACACCGTAAAAAAGAAACATTTCGATTATTGATTCTGGATAAATTTTGTTGTAAAATTTGTTTTAATTTTTGTAGGATATCCATATTATACTCCTGCAAATTATTAAATTCTTAGTTAATTATATACCATCAGCTACTAGCAAATGGATGGTTTTTTATTAATTACTATTAATCTTACTCATTCAGTCATTGTGGTAATTTAATTTAAATCATCTGGGAATAAATTTTCACTAGTTTAAATATTATTTTAGTCTATAAAGCATAAATTGTTGAAGTTCACGGAAAATGCCATAATTTTAGTCCATTCGTTTGTCAAAAAATTTACAAAAACTGTTTTTATTTATTATTTAATGCTGAAATTTAATTTAATAAAATTAGAATTTTAATAAGAAATAAGAGAAATTTAATTTAATAAAAAATAAAAGAAATAAAATTTTCTCCTTTACAATCATTTGAAATTTGAGACAGTTCGAACTAAAATTAGAGGTAAATTATTTCGTTTCAATTCGAGAAATTGAAATTTAATGATTTGTTTAGGAACAAATTTTTCGACACAGTAATTTTCCTTTTGTTGTATTTCAGGAAAGCAATTAAATTTTTAAATAGTTTAGGATAAAAATAAGATAATAAAACCAGAAATTTAGCTTAAATGCATGGTAATGGCAATCAGAAGTTAAGGTAGAAGCAAAATGATAATAACAAGATGTTTAAGATAGAAGCACGTTGATAATCGCGGGAAGTTTAGTATTGGAGTATGGTAATAGTAACCGGAAATTTAGGATAGAAGTAAAGTAATAGTTATTGAAAATTTAGGATAGAAGTAAGGTAATAGTTATCGGGAATTTAGGATAGAATTAAGATAATAATTAGCGAGGAATTCAGAGTCGAAATAATAATAGCCTAAAGCCTAATGCAGAAATAAAGTTATAATAGCAAGAATTTAGAACAAGAAATGGAATCATAAAATATCAGTTTTTCGAAGACTAAAAAAAAGTATATTGTTTGTCATTTATTTTCATAATTTTTAACGAGGAAAAGATAACATATCTTTCAAAGCGCCTTTTTGGAATTGCCTTTTTCACTCTTGGCTTATTTCAAAACAGCCAAGATCTCTCGCCGCATATATTCTAAAGCTGTCTAGTCTCCTTTTAACAGCCAGATGTTCTTTTTGCATTTCCTTTTGAAATCTGCGCCTCAATATTTCTCACTTCCTTCATGGTTTCTTATTGACCATTCTTATTTCCATCTCTTGGCATTATTTGAAGCTTTGAAGCCTTTTCTTGCAACATTTTCCGCCTCTTCTTCATATCTTTCAACTGGAAAAAAAAATGGAACAATTTTTCTTTAATTCAAAAAAATGTTATGCATTTATTTCCTTTTCCCTTTCCACTTCTCTTTCCTTCCATTTTCTTCTGAGTAATATTTGACAAAATCTATGTTTAAGACAAATTAAAATTTTCTACACAAATTTATTGGTTACCTCGTTTTGATACCTTTTTTTCAGCTGTACCTTAATCCTCTCTTGTTCATATGTTATCGATTTTTTGTTTTACTTAGTCTGAATCAATCATTCAATCGATCAATAATTTATATTTAAGATCATTGTAGTTATGTTATGATGGTCAAATTTACTTCTTTTGTTTTCTTTTCAACATAAATGAATATATCAAAAGAAAAAAAAATTAAAAATTGAAAAAGACGTCATTGTGTCATTAAATATTTATATAATGATAAATCATTTTATGGTTTAAGTACTTTCCTAAATCTTTTTTTTTCTTTTAGTACTTCCTAATTTAGTTATTTATTCATTTTTTTCTGAGTATGGAAAGGGAAAATTTAATAAACAATCGAATTAACAAAACGAATTTTAAAAAAAAGGGTTGAATGTTTTTTTTTCAAAATTTCATCAAACTTATTTACAAAATGATCACACAACTCTCTTTTTTTTATAAAAAAAATTCTTAAAACTGAAATGATCATATGAATAATTCATATTTTTACTTTGCATCCTGTTACCTAACTTCAACAAGCTCAAACTTTAGTAAGTACTAGTATTTTATCTCTAATTTGAATTTAATTTAAATTGAAAACAATAAGGGATATTTCACTTGCTCTCTGAAATAGTCTAGCTCTATTTTTGTTTTTAGTTTTATTAGTATGATCATGTCGGATTTCAATCATTATTTGTTATATGATAAAGCTTTCTAAAAAAGTGAGATATCCAAGAAAAAGATAAGAAGCAAAAATTCTATAAAATAGGAAAAAGTGACTGTTTTTCTTTTTTTGTTCGTTTGCTTATTTAAAATGTTACGAAAAGGATTCTAGACTAGTCTAAGCTAACTAATTCAAATTTGATAGCTCAAACTAATCGACAATGTTGTAAGAAAAATGGCGAAGATATATGACAAAAGTTTATCCATTCCGATATTTGTTTCAAATGTTTGTTGTATTTTAGCACTTCCAAATTTTATCACATCATATTTTCCATTTTTACTTATTTCAGTTTTTCATTTTGGCATTTTACAAAAAGAAAATTTATAAAATGAATTTCAATCCTTTTTTCTTTGCTTTTCCTTCTTCATTATTTAATCTTTCGATAAAATTTCAGAAAAATTTATGGTAACATTTAAATTGGTAATGCTGTTTTTTTTTTTCCTTCCAACGAAATAATACGACAAATTCATTGCTGTCACATATTTTGTATTCATGGATGAATAATATACAATTTCTTTCGGGAATTAATTATTTTTCGAAATTTATCATTTTTTTTTAAGTACAATCTATTTTATTTTCCTATTTTTTTGTTCCAATTTAATAATTTTCCTTAATTTTTCTCCTATAATTTTTAATTGCTCATTCCAGTTAATTACTTATTGTTGTAATATTTGTAAAAACCAGAAAAGGGATCTTTAAAATTTAAATGAAAGAACCAATTTTGTTTTTGTTTTTTTTCCTATTGAATTGTTATTCTTTTTTCATGTGTAAAATAATTGTAATTACAATTCATTTATTCCGTGATTTATTAAGTTTTACATTTTTTTATTCCATTTCTTGAAATTATAATTATTAGAGATATTAACATGCTTCTTTTTGAAAAGTATCACAATTTAAACCTCCCAATTTGTAATTTATTAAATTTCAATCTTTATCCCTCTCAATTTTTTTATCTTTTTCTCTTTCTTGGCCTTCCTCTTTCTAAAATTATCTTATTATTCGTCAACAATGATAGCTGTTTATGCTAAAGCTCGGAAATCAATGATTAAAAATTATAAAAGATCAAATGATGGGATGAAATATGGAATGCAAATTTATTAATGATTTGATGGAAAGCATAAATAAAAGACTAAGTGAAGAGAGTTTGGATGAGAAATGAAAGAATGATGTTAATGAATAATGAATTAATTAATGAGCATAAATAGTG